AGAGGAAGTGGTGCGCACAGGTGCACGTCAGAGCGCACAGACCGGCGTATTCACCAGTTGACTATTCGAGACCCTTTCTCCACGGCACGTGCCATCCGAAGCCGGTTGCCTTCAGGAGCAGGTGGATCTGTGCCCACCCAAACCATACGCAACAGATTGCATGAAGTACAGTTACGTGCACAGATACTAACAACAGGGGTACCGTTGACCGCTTTACACAGGGCTAGACGCCTGGCGTGGTGTCATCGTCATCGTACCTGGACCATCCAATGGCATCGGGTATTGTTCACGGATGAATCTCGTTTCTGTCTGTGGAGAAATGACGGCCGTCGACGGGTATGGCGGCGACCCGGAGAACGCTACGAACCAGCCCATTACGCCGAGCGTCACAATGGTCCTACACCGAGCATCATGGTTTGGGGTGGCATAATGTTTGATCGCAGAACGCCCCTGGTACACATTCACGGCAGTTTGACAGCGGACCGCTACGTCACACAAGTTGTGTATCCCGTTGTTCTGCCCTTGTTGCAGGGCGCACCCAACACGGTACTCCAGCAAGACAATGCCAGGCCGCATGTCGCACGGCGAACTCTTAACAGCCTGACTGGATTTGACATCCTTCCCTGGCCGGCAGCCTCTCCAGATCTGAATCCCATAGAACACCTATGGGATCTCATTGGACGTGGCATGAACAGAGGACCAATGGCGCAAACCATCTATGATCTGTGCACAGCAGTAAATATGGCTTGGCAAAGGTTACCTCAGGCAACCATCAATGGAGTCATTGATAGCATGCCTCGCCGGATTGAGGCCTGTATAGCTGCCCGAGGTGGCCACATTAGATATTGAATAAATTGCTTTATAATGATTTTATTAGTCTGTTTTTTTAATCATTTGCATATCCATCTCACTACTATCGCTCCTGAAATTTGCATGACGCTACGTGCATTATATCTTGGTGTTGCAATTTCACTTTTGAGGAGTGTATATGTTACCGTATAGGGTTGGCTGCTCAACGACGGTTATAAAATAAAATGTATGTTACTGCAAAATCTCGAATTTTTAAACCAGACAACTAAAAAAAAAGACAAAAGTTTAAATAGGTATTCCAGAAAGTTTTATTAATCATTTCCTTTCAGTTGATTTTTATTTAAATAATAAGATGATTTTTTTGTTTTGTTATTTCTTTAGTTCTTTCTTGTTATAAAGATTGTTTAAATGATTTTGAATAGTATGCTGTGATGTTCTTTTGAACATTTTAGTCTTATTTTTTATACATATGTATGATTTATTTTGAAAAAAAAAAGTAATTCGTTAAGAAATTTGTTGTTTGAACAAAAAGTTTTGAAGTTGTTGTTGAAGTTTGAACAAAAGTTTTAAATTAAGCTAGAAATATAAAAAATAATAAAAACTATTACTAAAGTTTTTTGAATCGGATACCTGCAAGTGACGTAGTGTGGATATCTCGATCCTGATTGGTTGTTGAAACGTGGAATTTGTTTACGTTAGCAACTGTTCTTTCCATTCTATTTCGAGAAAGCCAAGCCTGTCAAGTACCGATTTTCTTAAGTAACTCAGCCTATAATCTTTCACCGAGAATCTTTCACGAATATTTCAATTCTACCACTATATATTTACACAAAAACTTAACAGAAAGACAGGTCCGAAGCCATGTAAAACATGAACAAACTTATTACGCATCGAAGTTGCCAGGTACACAAAACAAAAATATATCACGGTTACAGTAAAATACGTAAACAAATAATAAATCCAAGTTAAGTAAAAAAAAAAATAGATGAGAAAGAATTATATTTCAACAAATTCGATGTGCTATACAGCTCCGTATTTAATTAACTTAACTTTAATTAACATTTTAAGTTATGAAAGAGAAACTTAGCTAAATTTTAATACTCCGTATTGCTGATAAAGATTAGCTAGTGCTGACGTCATAGGTCACATGCGTGGGTATTGCTTGTCTTCTTCTTCTTCTTGGAGTGCTAATTGAACTAGCTCGAATTAAATTGGACTGAGTGTTTATAATGTTTTAACTTAAAAATGAAAATTTGACCAAAGAAAGAAAAAATAATTAGTTATAAACCTATTCTCAGACCTACTGAATATACATATAAAATTTCATCAAAATCGGTCAAGCCATTTCGGAGGAGTATAAACACTAATACTGTGACATGATATTTTTATATATAAGATAACAGAAAGCGACGAAGCTCGCAGTCCGGCCACTTCGCGAATCTGCCGGCCATTTCGCCCTTTGGCCATACCTCTCGGCCAAAGTGCGCAATAATTGAAACGATCAGTGAATATTCTACTTTGGCAGGCCATTTCGCGAAATGGCCACAATGTTCCGGGCAAAACGCGATGTGCTCATTCAAGAATGCCCGGTAGGCGGCGAAAGGCGAGAGGTAAATTTTTTATGTTGACCATTTTACTACTTTTTTAATATCAAAAGATATTAAAAAAGAAATACAAAGAAATATATAGTATAGAAATACAAAAGTATTTCTAATAACTTTTACTTTACAGAAAAAAAAATTGTAGTGGTATGTTTTTTCACATACCGGGTGATACGCTGGGATCAGAATTTTTTAATATTTGTTTTATTAAAAAGGTTATTTGCTAATATTGCCGCTTTTGTTTTCTTTTTTAATTTAAAAATGCAAATCTTCTAATTTAAAAATATAAAAAACAAACAGGTTTTTAAATTAAAATTTAAAAAATTTTATTTTTTACTTTGTCTCAAATGGCCACATTCCACCGCAGTTAGCTGCGGGTACCGCAGCTAGTAATTATTAAGGAATGAATTTATGGTTATACAGAGCCAATAATACGTGCCAATGATTTTTTCTTCCAACTTTGGCTGATCCTCCCATGCCACTTCGCGATCTGGCAGGCCAATTCGCGAAGTGGCCGTATTATGAACACACACACACATACACATATATATATA